TGCTGCTTGGCCTGCTGTGTTCATCCAGCCCTGCACCTTGTTGTCTCAAATCATGCAAGAGCTGCTTACCCACACACTCAGAGCAGCTCAAGAGAATGATAGCAAATTGTGTTTTCCAGCAATGTAGTGACAAAATGCTGATTTAATGTTTCGAGTGTCAAATGGCCTTAGTACTTTTCGAGCACTAATACAAATCCCATCAGCCTCAATGCCAGCCTTGTGTGGTGTACTGGGGCCAATATTCAACCCTTGGCCAACATCAGTAAGAAACAATTGATAATGAATCTGCGGAACTCTTTGACGCAGCGGGCTATGGAGGCTAAATCATTAAGCCTCCTTAAAACAGAGATAGATAGGTTCTTGATTGGTCAGGGGATCGAGGGTTATGGGACGAAGGCAGGACAATGGGTTTGAGAAACATATCGGCCATGACCTAATGGCAGAGCAGACTCAATGGGCCGAGTGGTCTCATTCTGCTCCTATATCCTGCTGCGCACAAAGCAGGCGCTACAATACCATTGATGAGTAGCCACCACAACTGATTCTGTGGAGCTCGAGATGACACAATCATGTCCTTGTGTACGAGAACGAGGGAGGGGAGGTGGCCATTGGCAGGAGTAGGAGAAGTGAATCCGTGCTTTGGCCAACTTGCAAACCATCCAATAGGCACGCAAACCGTCCCATGCATAATCACTGATAACACATTGCCCACTCAACACAAAGACCACATTTGCTACCATTGCCTATTTACACTCCACTTGGAATGAAATTACAGCACCACCTCGTTAAAAAAAGAGCTTTATGAGCTGATCCTTGTAAATGCAGTCACTGATCACAGGAGTGCTGTTTCACCATTCTCCTTTTTATTAAATAGTGCAGACTCTTGACAAATACATGCAAGATGGGTGAAGAGTTGCTGAAAATCCAGGAAAATATCTAGCTCTCCTCAGATTTGATCCTATTAACCCTCTCCCTCCATTGTAATTGTTATAGTAGCCATCAGGGTAGGAGGTCTTGAGGAGCAGACTTCTGATCCAGGAGCTATGGGTTCAAATCCCACTCCGAGACCTGATGACCATGGAAGGTGTAATAATTGGAATGAGCTCAGCCAGGCTGTTAACCTGGCCCAATCAGGGAGCCCTGGCTGACAGATATAAACAGGAGGGTCAGGGGTTCTGTTCACTCTAGGAGCTAGCTAGGTCAGTGTTATGTATGTGTAAATAAAGGGTAATGGGATACTGACTCTTATGGAGTTATTTCAGAAAGTGCTGAAGAACCTCCCTGTTACTCTTCAAATGAGTGCCAAGGAACTATCTGAGGAGATTGTAGGGGCATTGGTGGTGATCTTTCAGGAATCACTGGAGTCAGGGAGGGTCCTAGAGGGCTGGAAAATGGCTAATGTAACACTGCTGTTTAAGAAGGGAGGGAGGCAGAAGACAGGAAACTAGAGGTCACTTAGCCTGCCCTCGATCATCGGTGAGATTTTAGAGTCCATTATTAAGGATGAGATTGCAGAGTACTTGGAAGTGCACGGTAAAATAGGGCTGAGTCAGGACAGCTGTGTCAAGGGGAGGTCAGACCTGAAATATCTGTTAGAATTTTTTAAGGAGGTAATGAGCAGGTTAGACAAAGGAGAGCCAGAGGACATGATCTATTTGGATTTCCAGAAGGCCTTTGACAAGGTGCCATACCGGAAGTTGCTAAATAAGATAATAGCCCATGGTGTTAGAAGCAAGATACTGGTATGGATAGAGGATTGGCAGAAGGCAGAGAGTGGGGATAAAGGGGTCATTTTCAGGATGGCTGACGATGACTAGTGGAGTTCTGCAGGGGTCTGTGTTGGGACCGGAACTATTCACGTGATACATTAACAATCTGGATAAAGGAGCTGAGGGCACTGTTCCTAAGTTTGCAGCTGACGCAAAGATTTATGGAGGGACAGTGAGTATTGAGGAAGCAGGGAGGCTGCAGAAGGACATTCTTTTCCCAGAATTGGCAGATGGAACACAATATGGGAAAGTATGAGGTTTTACACTTGGGTAGGAAGAAGGGAGGCATAGACTGTTTTCTAAGTGGGGAAAGGCTTTGGAAATCTGAAGCACAAAGGGGTTGGAAGTTCTAGTTCAGGATTCTCTTAAGGTTAACATGCAGGTTCAGTTGGCAGTTAGGAAGGCACCTGCAATGTTAGCAATAATTTCAGAGGGCTAGAATACAAGAGCAATATATACTGCTGAGGCTGTATAAGGTTCTGATCAGACCTCATTTGGAATATCATGAGCCATTCTGGGCCCCATATCTAAGGAAGGATGAGCGGGTATTGGAGAGGGTCCAGAGGAGGTTTACAAGAATGATCCTGGGGATGAAGGGCTTGTCATATGAGGAGCGGTTGAGGACTCTGGGTCTGTACTCGATGGAGTTTAGAAGATGAGGGGGGGATCTGATTGAAACTGATGAATACTGAGAGGCCTGGATAGAGTGGACTTGGGGAAAATGTTTCCACTAGAACCAAATGCCTGAAGCCTATTCTGGCCATTTGGCCCACCCAGTCCCTGCTGGTTTTATACCCCACTCAGGGCCTCTTTCCAAACTAACTCTTAGCTCGACCCTCTGTCCCTTCCCTCATCTCCCATTAAATGCATCCACACTATTTCTTCAACTACTGCCTGTGGGAATAGGTTCCACATTCTCACTAATCTTAGAGAATCTTCTGAATTCCTATTGGTTCCTTTTGTGATTGTTTTATACTGAAGACCTCTAATCACTTCCTATCCCGCCCACCCCAAGTGGAAACATTCTCTCTGTAATCACTGGGGTAAACCTTTCACGGATGTCAAGTTCTGTATCGAGTCAGAGAGATCTACTGCCCAGTAAAGGGCCCTTCAGCCCATCGAGTCTAGACTGGTCAAAAACTATTCTAATCCTATTTTCTAGCACTTGGCCAATAGCCTTGTCACTCGTGAATCTTCTCCTTTCAAGAGAAAAATAGACCCAGCTTATTCATTCTGATATCCCAATCGAGCGCTATATCTGTACATACTTCTGTTGGCATGTTCATAAACCTTTCCCACACATTCTCTACAATATCTTTTTTAACAACAGAGTGACCAAATCTACACACTGTACTCCAACTGTGGTCCAACCAAGGCTTGATACAGATTCAGTGTAACTTCCCAACTTTTCTACTGTGTCCCTCGGGAACCAGACGCCTGTGTCTGGCTGACAGTTTTGCGATGGCTTTGCCAGCACAGGGCACAACCTTTAGTGATTGATCACCTTAACAAGTTAGTAACGTTCTAATGAATTTGAGTGGTTAAAAGTGGCATTGACCAAGCTGCAGCTGCATTCTATTCCCAACAGTTAACAGGCATCAAGTGTTTCCAATTTAACTCTGCCTGCCTGCTTGCATGTTACTACCATTTGGAAACGAGAAAGTGGGATCTGGTAAGAGCCTTTTGGAAGGCTGTAGACTCAGTGTTTCATACTTACAGAATTAATGCAGGCTAGTTCCTTGTTGAGAAGCCATGGCAATGAGAGCTTGCCTTCCCCTCTGTAGCACGACTGAATCCTTTCCTTAATCTTCTGTTTGATTTTCCTCAGGGTGAACAGGCAGAGAGCAGACTCCCGGGGTGGCTTCATCCTATTCTTCTGGCCTTGGGAAAAGACGGTGAAGAGGATGTCCTCCGTCTCAGAGATATCCAGAGACCGGGCGAGGAATTTTCCCGGCTTGGCTAAGTAGGCATCTTGGATGAGGCGGTATTCCACCCCATCCTTCAGGCACCCGATGGGGAACTCCACGTAGGAGTAGAACTTGGGATCGCCTACACACAGCCGGACAATCTTCGACGTGAAGAATTGCTCGCTGTTGGAGTCGGGGGACGTCAACTGAGTGTCAAGTTGCAAGGTTAAGTAATAGACAAACTGCTCGCTACTAAAACTGTAAATGTAGTAGATGTCAAAGGCCGGGAATTTGGAAAGGGTATCTGAAGGGATCTTCAGCTGCGAGGAGACAAACTCGTCCTGGTAGACAAAGCCAAACATCTCCGCGTTTTCCTCATTGTCCATTAGTTTTCGGCTGGAGAGTGTGGGAAAATATTCTGATTTGCCATCGATGGGGGTGCCAATGAAGAGTTTGTTATTGGTCCCATTGGGTCCCTCAATGATCACACCTGACATAGTGGCTGCCTCGTTGACGCTGGACAGGTAATGTTCCTTGCGGTGGTGAGGCTCCCCAAGCTTGAAGAGGTCATCCAGGCGCAGGAACTGGCATATGCCCTGAAAGGTGCTGCCACAGGCAATGAGGCGGTTCTGCTTGTAGTCGATGAGCAGCAGCTTGTTGACGTTCTTGGTCAGCTCCAGGGGGTGCGGGCAGGACTGCACGCTGGGAGGCGGGTAACACTTCTCGTTGTCTTCCACCGGGCCCGTCACGTGGGACCTCAGCATGGTCAAGTTGTCCGCCAGCTTGTAGATCTTGTCGACAGCGCCAACGTAGACAACTCCGGTTTTGTTGTGGACGACCAAGTGGGTCAGGCTCGTGTCGGAAACCTCGAAAGTCCTGAAGGGAGGAAGTGCCCCCTTGGCATGGCCAATCACGGCCAAGTGGAAGGTCACCAGTAACGTCCAGAGACATGAGGGCCGATAACAGCGACTGCTACAGAGCAGTTCCATTGTGTTCCTCTGCGCCTGCTTATATCCCCCCACGCTTCAGGATGAAGGAAACCACGTACAGCCAAATCCTTCATCTAGGTCGCCCTCCGAGCTGCTGAGGCCATCAAACCTGCAAAGAGAAAAGACAGCTGGTTAAAGGAGACTCAGATATGTCCCCCTGCTTGGGCTCAAGTATCCCAATACCCACCCGGGAGACCGAGTGAGGAGAGAATATGGAATCCAACCACTGGCAAATTCACCACATTATGGGCACTTTACAAATTCAACTTGTTGTTGTCATCCCTGCTAAAGATTTAAGACAGGTACGTCCATAAATAAATATCATCCGAGCTGCATTTATTTTATGTTCTCTCTCTCTCTCTCTGCATGTTCGCATCATCGGCATTTATTGCCCACATTGAACAGAGGTGACTTGGCAAAGCAGAGTCCAGGACTGGAGTTACATATGGGCACAAGACAGGCAATACATCTCACTCCACTAGAAAATATTAATAAACCACCCGTATATTTCTTTGTGACAATTGATCCCTGGGGGTGACTTTTGCTGAGTTCCAGCCTCCTGTTGGGATCTGAACTCTCAGCCTCTGGATTCCCCCTCGTCCCACCAGGCGCCCAAGCAACTCCGTGTTTGGAAGGGGCACGGGAGGGGCATAGCTTCCAGTACAAAAGGTGGTCTACCACTCCCATCAAGCACCTCAGTAACAGGCTTTGAAGAAGTCGTCTGCTCCCCAGCAATAACGTGATAGAGGTAACGCTCAGGCGAGAGGAAGGATGGGTCTGCGGAAGAGAAAAGGGAGAGGGAGAGAGAGAGAGAGAGAGAGAGAGAAAAAGAGGAAAGCACAGAGAAATGAGAAAGTACAGAGAGAAAGAGGAAGGAGAGAAAAAGGGGAGAGACTATGAAAGGAACAGAGAGAGAGAGAGAGAAAAGGAGGAGATAAAAGGGGAAGGAGATAAAAGGACAGAGAGAAAGAGAAGCAGAGACAGAGAGAAAGAGAGAGAGAAAAAGAACAGAGAGAGGAGAGAGAGTCGGGAAGAAAGAGAGAGAAAGAGGAAGAGAGAGAAAGGGAGACAGAGAAAAGAACAAAGGGAAGAAGAAAGGGAGACAGAGATAGAGAAAGAGAGAAAGGGCGAGAGAGGAAGAGGGAGGGAGAAAAAGACGGAAGGAGAGCAAAGGACAGAATGAAAGAAAGGGTAAGGCAGACAGATAGAAAGAGAGAGAAAGACTAAAAGGACAGAGAAAGGGTACATGGGAGAGAAAACAGGATAGAAGGAGCAAGAGGGACAGAGAGAAAGAAAGAGAGAGAGAAAGAAAGAGAAAAATACAAACAAAAAAAGCGAGAATGAGAAAAAGAGAAGAAAAGAGAGGCAATTCAAAAGAAAATCGAAACAGCACAGTCTGTGGTGATGTGCTAGCCCACCTCTCCTACACAATAATACAGTGAGTATCAGGAACACAAATCAATAATCTGCCTGAGCTTCATGAGGAGACGGTGATGTCTTAAGAGGAACTCATCACAGAATTGATAAGCTTGAGCAGTCCCTGACCTATTATAATAATCCTTATGTTGGTGCTGACTAAGACACAGACCGCGATCGAGGAATATTCATTGCCAGCTGCGCTGTCAGTTCTGATGCTGGTGAGAGTTCAGACCGGCCGTATGGGTCAGGATCACCCCCTTCACAGTCTGATCAAATCAGTCCCAGAGTTTTGCGGTGGGGGGGGGGGAGTGCCATCCACTGAGCTATTGGCAGCACGGTGGGAGGGGGAGGTGTCTTTGGGGGCTTTCTTAAAACCACTGGCTGTTGAGAAATGCAGCTTGCCAGGATTGGGGGTAAAGCACACCTCCAGGCACAACACTGTACAGGGCCATCAGAAAACTAATCACGGCTCTGAGCCACCCAACACAGAGCTGGGCTGCAGCTCCAGAGATGTAATGCTCAAAGGTTGTGGGTTTGAGACCCGCTCCAGAAGCATAACCCAGACTGACACTCCCAACGCAACTCAGAGGGACAGCTGCACTACAGGGGATGTCATCTTTAGAATCAAACACTGGTGTGCCCTCTCAAACAAATATAAAAGACCCCATGGCACCAGATGTGTTCCCCCTCCTCCCCCACCAACAGTGTGGTCAATATCTAGTCACCAACCAACACTGAACATTATTCCGCAAACAAAAAAAATCTACTCATTACATCGATGCTGTTTCTGGGATCTTACAGTGCATAAAATGGCTGCCAACATCCCTACATTCCAAAAGAATGCAGCACACTGGGAGATCATTTCTTCCCCCTACAATGGGTCACACTATTCCCAAACCCTGTACCAGACTAAGGTGGGGATGTTTACTGAACTAAAGGTTATTAGACATTGCAGTTCACCTTGTCCTTGAATTCCTGGGAAGCATTTGATTGAGAAGAACACAAGCTAAAATCAGAATAGGCCCTAAGCTTGCTCTGCCATGCTGTCCTCTCAGGACGAGCCATATAAATACTGAGGCTGCGAGATCCAGCAGCGAGTAATTCAACTCTTGACTCTCTCCATCTACAAGGCACAAGTCAGGAGTGTGATGGAATATTCCCCACTTGCCCTGGATGGGTGCAGCTCCAACAACACTCAAGAAGCTTGACACCATCCAGGGCATCCCCCACCTTAGTCTGGTACAGTATTCCATCACACACCTGGCTTATGCCTTGTGAATGATACGGGGAGGTGAGTAACCTGCTCCAGGATTCCCAGCCTCTGACCTTGCTCTTGTGACCTCAGTGTATCTACGGCGTGTCCAGTTCAGTGTCTGGTCAATCCAAAGTAACCAATTATTCCACCAGATCCTGAAGTACTTTATTGCAGTCGCCTCTTTTTAAGCAAAATAATGAGGGAAAATAGTACTCAATTAATTCACAGAAAACTTTTGAGGCACCAGTTAATCGCAGGCCAGGAAGTGTGTAACAGGTGGGCGTTTGCTTTCCGAGCACCCAAATTAAGTGACTAAAATAGCATCCACCACAAATATAATTGGGCTGCAATTTAAACGGCTCCAACAACCCTTCCCCCTGCCACCATGGTGACTTGAACTCGCAGCCTCAAGAACCAAGCTCCAGAAAGTACTTGACTTTGTCAGACCCAGTGCTGATCGGATATCTGAGCGAGCTGAGGCTGTGAAGGGATAGTAAGAACTGCCGATGCTGAAGTCAGTGATAACACAGTGGGGAGCTGGAGAAGCACAGCAGGCCAGGTGCAGGAAAGTTGACATTTCCGGTCGGGACCCTTCAGGGCTGTGAAGAGTTTGGGTTGTCTCATGGTTTCCCAGTTGGGGTCTGTAAGTAAGTTTCAACACAATCCTTGCACTGTGGAAACAGGCCATTCAGCCCATACCAACCCTCAAGAGCATTCCATACAAACTCCACCCTATCCCTGTATCCCTGCATTCCCCATGGCGAATTCACCTAGCTTGCACATCCCTGGACATTATGCGTAAATTAGCACGGCCAATTCACCCTAACCTGCACATCTTTGGACCGTGGGAGGAAACGAGAGCACCCAGAGGAAACCCACACAGACACAGGGAGAACATGCAGTGGAATCGAACCTGGGTCTCTGGTGCTGTGAGGCAGCAGTGCTAACCACTGAGCCACCGTGCCAGAGAGCAACTGAAGAGAAAACACAGGCCATTTTTGATTCCTTCTATTAGCAAAGGAAAAGGTAAGGCTTGTTTCCCCAACAATGAACATCTCCCAACAAACAGACCCAATCGCTTTGTGTTGAATCCAATGGCTGTCCTTTAGGATGCAGTGGCAGCTTCCCAACCTCTGGGCCAGGAGATCCAGGTTCAAGTCCCGTCTACTCCAAATGTGTGTCATAATATCTCTGAACTGTTTGATACTAAAAACATTTTCAAATCAGCCTCCCTGACAACTTGCATTGTCCTTGATTACCAAGTACATAAAGTTTATACCCAATTTCTTTTCTTATTCCCAACTGAAGTTTTACACTGATGTATGTGAACCCTGCACCACTGCACTAAGCATTTGCCTGCATCCGGCTCAGCAAATCTCTGGAGAAGGTGGAACAATCACGTTCGGTCCCGGGATCTCCTTCCGTAATCCCTTCTCAATTCCCAGTGGCAAAGCTTTTCTGTCAAAGCTGGGGGAAGGATAGGGGTTACATTGGCAGGGAAGAAAGAAAGGGAGAGAGATGAAAGGAGAATGAGGAGGAAGGAGATAGAGAGAGAGTAGAAGAGAAGGAGTTGAAGAGTGTGAGAAAGAGTGAGACCCGAAGAGTCTGATTCCGTGCTGTATTACTCTATAACTCTATGATACTGAGACAATGAAGTATAACTCTATATAAGGCAGAGAGGAACAGAGACAGATGTTGTGTGAGGTAATGATTCTGAAGGGGTTAATGTTTATGTTACATTGGCTCCAACCAATCTACTGATATCTCTCACACACTCACACACTCACACTCGCACACACTCACGCACTCGCACTCACACTCGCACGCACTCGCACTCGCACACACTCACGCACAGGGACAGGGAGTTCTACTCTTGCTTTCAGATGCAGCAGATGTATCTGGACCAGATTCCTAAGGTCCTAGTCATTTGGCCTGACCAAATGTAGTTGTACTTATTGCTATCCTGTGATAAACCTTCTTATCTAAGAACAGAACCTCTTCCGTAAATATTCTATGGTTCTGTATCCTCTATCCAGAGTGATTAGATGGACCCAAGACAAGGGAGGATCGGTGGCAGTGAACTATCTGCTAGAGCCCTTACCCAGTCCCACAGACTGGAGGAGGAGGCAAATACCATAAGGTGCCAGGAGTGGTCACCTGGGAAAATATCGCAACAGAGACAGAGAGACACCAGCACACAGGGAGAGTGGCAAAAAGACAGAGTGAGACAGGCAGACAAATGTAGAACAATACAATACAGGAACAGCCCCTTCGGCCCACTACGTCTGTGCTGACCATGATGCCATTCCAAGCTAATCCCATCGGCCTGCACAGACAGACACCAACACAGAGACAGAGTGGCAAACAGAGTGCATTACAGACAGACAGACAAGAAGACAGGCAGACAGAGCGACTTAGGCAAGACAGATAGTGTG